CGATACTGGATACTGGATACTGGGTACTGGATACTGGATACTGGATACTGGATATTTTCTCTCATACTTTTGTCGTATCAAAATTTTTCAGTATACAAAATTTATATATCGTTATCTTACCGAAGTTTTAGTATACCGCATTTCGGTATATCAAAGTTTGGATTCGGTAATGGTACAGTATCGGTAAATTATCATGCATTCTCCCAATACAATAAATTATCATATATAGACTAATGAAATATACTAAATTCGTGTTACTAGCGATGTATTTAATCGATTAGTCTAATGTTACAATATGCAATTAATAATCTATTGATGCCATATTCAATATTAAACAATAATTATTATTAGTATATTTATGCATTTAACATGTCACATATTAAAAAATAACACATTCTTCTAAAATAACTTGAAAAATATAGATATAATTAAATCAATAGTGATCTCTAATAAATATAAATAAAAGTATTCAAACAACATGGATATAAAATCATCTATTCCTACTATGATACAACGTGTTTAGTCATTTTTATAATTTTAAAAAAACATTTGAATAAGACATTCGGAAAAAAATACGTGTCTCGACTCGTGTGATCCCTATGTAGATACACACGTCACATAAATGTATCCCTCTTCACTCGTCAGCGGTACAACCATTGTGATTCGCAAGCTCTTGGAACAAGATGAACTTGTTTCTGGACATCAGTACATTACTCATTATTTATTAGAGTTAGTTTGTTTGAATGTTACGTTAAACAAAAGCTAGAAGGTTATAGTAGGTTTGGAGAATTGGACGTTTATTATTGTATTTTGGTATTTGTAACCAGCCTAAGTATTAAATTATTAATTTTGTACTTCAAAATTGTAATGAACTTTTACAATACTTTAAAATTAGAAGTAATTGTTGGATAAGGAATCAGTACGGTATTATACCGGTATACCACGGTATTTGAAAACATTTACTATTACCGTACCGAAATAAATCGGTACGGTATGATAGCGTACCGAAAATGACGGTATACCAATATTATGGTATTTTCCGGTACGGTAGCTGCGATATACCGATTTTACAGTATTTTTGCCCACTCCTAAAAACATGTACATGAGACCTAATAAAAAGCTACCACCTCCTAGACGTACTTATCTCATGTATGTACTACAGAATAAAAAATGTAACCAAAAAATAAAGTGTAACACTAAAATACATAGCAACACCCCCCTCAAGATGGAGCATACAACAACAACAACAACAAAATCCAAGCCTTAGTCTCAAAAGATATTTGAGTCGGCTAACATGAATCGATATAAGATATCACCATTAAAAGGAAAAGAAAAAAATAAAGATAAAAAAGATAAGCTATTATAAAAAGATAATATAAAAAGAGATGCATATACATAAAAATGATAAAATAAAAAGGTACAAATAATGTTTATATATAAGGATAAAAAAACAAGGGAAAAAAATGAGGGGAAAAGATGATACGAGATCACTCCTCCACACGAATACATGTCCTCCACTTTGCTCTCCAAAGCCATACACTCATCCAACACAAGAAGAAGATCACTTCGGACTCCCCTAACCCACGTCTGTTTGGGCCTTCATCTCCCTCTCTTCCCTGTCTCTTCTCCACACATCTCAACGCGTCTGACAAGTGCATCACTCGATCTTTTACGCACATGACCAAACCACCGTAGGCGTGACTTCCTAGTATGCCCACACATCCAACGCAGCATGCACATCTCTGCTACACTCATCTTTTGAATGTGACATTGTTTCATCGCCGAACACTCTACGACATACAATAATGCAAGCCTAATTGCTGTCTTATAAAATTTACCCTTCAATCTAATCGGCATACCTCGATCACATAGAAATCCTGACGCACTCTTCCACTTCATCCATCTTGTTCTAATTTTATGGGATACATCTCCATCTAACTTACCGTCCTTCTCAATTATGGAGCCTAAGTAACAGAACATATCGATGACTGGTATCGCCTTACCATCTAGAGTAATTCCGTTATTACCCACTGCTTCTACCTCCACCAAACTTGCACTCCGTGTACTCTGTCTTGCTCTGACTTAGTCTGAAATCCTTGTTCTCTAATGTTTGTCGTCATACTTCCAACTTTGTTTTAAGACCTGATTACGTCTTATCAATCAATACAATATCGTCGTCAAACATCATACATCACAGTATATCGTCTCGAATTGACTTCGTAAGTTCATGCATGACTATGGTAAACAAGAAAGGGCTTAGAGCCGATCCTTGGTGCACTCCGATAGTAATAGGGAACTCTTCAGTCCTTCCTACACTAGTACGGACACTTATAGTACAATCCTCATACATATCCATGATGATGGAGCATACGGATCACAAATGCCCATCTTGACAAGCAAGGACGGATCTATAGGTACTCCCAGGGGACCATGGCCCCTCCCAACTATTTATTTTTTTACTAGTAGTATTGGTTATTTTATTTTTTTCCCTCCCACCAAACATTTTATTTTTGACTGCTGCTCCGTATGATTGTGTGATCACTGTGATGTAAAGCATTTGAGCGGTTCACGGTTGGGCCTGAAGCGCTATTGATTTCATTGAAATTTAAAGTCCAGCCGAAGAATTATAAAAAAATAAGTATAAATACTTGTGAATTGCTGCCGGTCTGCCCATCTGCGTCGCTGGCCTAGAATAACAGAGGGCATGGACGAAGGTAGCAGTGAGCTCAAGTCTGGAGCATTTTCCATCAATTGAGCAGGACAAATACCAGTTCTTATTCAACGGTTAACAACATTTTGACTTTTATAACCTATTAAGGTAAAAATATTAATCTTTACTAATTATTTAAGAATTTAAGTATTCTAACTTTTTCATCTATTAGATTTTAGATATGTGATTGTTTTTTCTAAACCATGTTATAAAACTGTGATGTGTGTTATTACTTGCATAACTGAATATTTAACTGAATACTAAATATTAAAGAAATCATATTTATTATGTAAATGGTCAATATTTAAACAAGAATTAAGATGTTAATTTGCATGTACGTAATATAATGTAGAAATTATAATAATGTACTATTATATGAATAAAACGTTGAGAATAAGTTATCACAAATTATGAATGCTTAGTTAAGGAAAACTCAATTATTTAAGAAGGTGTTAGTATATATTGTCTTAGATTAGAGATGAAATTGAGAGCTTAAGTTAACTTCCTTTTTGGTGAAAAAATCATTTCAGGGCTCTTTAGTTTTCATTTTAACATTTAAATATATAACTATACAAACTTATATTAGACTCCGGGTATTAAAATAGTAGAGCACTAGATTTCATGACATGCAAGCACGATTTCTAAATTTTAATTTGCATGGCGTTCAATCATGTATTTTTTGGAGGATTTATTAAAAACTTTGTATATTAGTACATTTTTTCAACTTTGCCAGCAAGTATAATTGCTACAGCGGATACTATGTAGTACATTATTTAATTTTTATTGCATGTGTATTTTATATGTTATTATTTAATTTTTTTAATTTCACCCCGGCCCCCTCTTGATCACATCTTGGCTCCATCCGTGTTGGCAAGCAAATAAGAAAATTGAGATGCTCCAAGTGCTTTAGTTAATAAATCCGCAGGTTGTTCCGTGGTGGAAGTATAAGGTGGGGAGATAGTTCCAGCCTGTATATGATCCCTAATGAAATGACAATCAAGTTCGATGTGTTTGGTCCGCTCATGGTACACTGGATTTGAAGCAATATGCAAAGCGGCTTGATTGTCACAAAAAGTGGCACCGGTGAGGAATGCATGACACCCAAACACCGAAGCAAGTTACGTAGACAGATAAGTTCACAAATTAAGGCAGCCATGGAACGATACTCAGCTTCTGCGGAAGAACGAGAAATTGTGGCTTGTTTCTTCGTACGCCAAGATATGGGGATTGTCCAAGAGAAATTAAACAAAATAACCAGTCACCGAGCGACGTGTGACTGGACGACTAGCACAATCAACATCACAGAATCCAGTCAAGGTGAGGGAGGAATCGGACCGCAATAAGATCCCCCGACCAAGATGGCTCTCAAGATAGCGTAGAACACGTAACACAGCCTCCCAATGTGCCACCTTTGGACATTGCATAAATTGGGAAAGAATATGATCAGAATAACTAATGTCCGGCCTAGTCAAGGTAAGATAAATCAGTTTCCCAACTAACCCCTGATAGCGCTCCAGATCGGAAAGATTAGGCCCAATATCCGATTGTAATTTATGATTCTCCACCATAGGTAAAGAGACAAGCCGAGATCCAATTAAGCCTATTTCGGCCAAAATATCCAGCACATATTTACACTGACACAAGAATATCACGATAGAATTTCGCGCTACATCAATACCCAGAAAATACTTCATTATGCCCATATCTTTCACCAGAAACGAAGCAGCTAAGAATGATTTAAATGCCACAATCATATCATGGTCATTCTCACTGATAAGAACATAATAAACTTCATTATACTTCTTCTATTCCTTAAAAGTTTGCCGCTTTTGACTGACACAGAAAATAATAAAGGTTGAGGCTTCTGCAGAGGAGAGAGAAATAATCTGAATCACAAAATAATTGATTAAAAGATAAAGAAACAAATTTTTTTGGGACATCCAAAAAGGACAGATGACAATATTTTAAGGAATTGATGGAGTAAATAAGGTCCAATAAAAATATATTGTTGATCAAAGTTTTAAAGATGACAAAATCTCAGGAGGGAGGTAGTATCATTTGTTAATTGTGTTATAAAAAGCCAATTTTTTTATTGAACAGAATTCCCATTTTCTTTGAACCACCCCGACCGAATTCACAAACTCGACTCGTTTTACCAAGATATTTTGGGTGGAAAACCGAAAAGCAGCTTATTTCCCCCCTCTTTTATATAGAGATAGATATTCATATTTAGGGAAGTTACCTTTAATTTTTTTGAAAAGTATTTAAGAACATTAGGCTAATGAAGGTTGCAAAACAAAGTAGTTTTTTCATTCTCTCTAACTAATTGAAACATTAACAAATCCTTTTGAGAACTTTTTACTTTGGCGGCAATGGAGAGTCTTTTCTCCGACCTCCACTACTGGCTAGTGGATCACCCATCCATCAGCCAATATGAATGGAAGCATGGCCACACATTTGGATCGTCGCCGCTCTTTGTCGCTGTCACGGTCACCGTCTACCTCTCCACCGCTATCTTCCTCCACCGCTCTGCCCTCCTCCCACCACTCTCCTCCTCCTGGCTCCGCCGCATTTCTGTCGTGCACAACATCACCCTCTGCCTCCTCTCCCTCGCGATGGCCGTGGGTTGCTCCCTCGCCGTCCTCCACCAAATGCCGAACCGCGACTGGTCGTGGGTGGTATGCTTCCCGGCCAACCAGACCCCGCCACGTGGGCCTGCATTTTTTTGGGCACACGTCGCGTACTTCTCTAAGATTCTGGAATTTGTAGACACCCTTTTGATCCTGCTGAGTGGGTCGCGCGCCCGCCGCCTCACTTTCCTCCACCTCTACCACCACGCCGTGGTGGTCGTGACATCATACCTCGGGATCATGACGTCCCAGACTCTGCTTCCGGTGGGGGTGGTTGTGAACGCCACCGTGCACGTGGTGATGTACGGCTACTACTTACTCTGCGCATTGGGTTATCGGCCGCGGTGGAAGAGGGTGGTGACGGAGTGTCAGATCGTCCAGTTTGTGCTTGGGTTCATGGTTTCCGGGTTGATGCTGTTTTATCATTTTACCGGGTCGGGTTGCTCCGGGATGTGGTCTTGGGTCTTCCATGCTCTGTTCGGCGCTGTACTTCTGGCACAATTCATGGAGTTTCATTTTACTAATTACAGATCCAAAGCGAGGAAAGATTGATCCGACCTTCAAAATAAGCTAGCGGTCATGATTGGGTGACCATTTTTCAAAGAATGTCACTTTATGTTTGGATCTTGTCTTTTTAATATTCCTCACTTAAGTAATTAATTAATTTAATTGAAGACGTATCGGCAAGAAAGTCATGCAAATTAGTTTATGATTTCTTTTCCTTCACCTACTCGTCTATGCATTTCCATTTATTTACAAAGCAATGAGCAACAGTGGAGGACCTGGGGTCCTAGGTGGGCAAGTGCCCTGGTTCTGACCCCGAAGTTTAAGATTAGTACTTAAAGAGTTAAAGATATAAATTGGATCTCCGTTACCCGGTCAAAAAAACTAGAGATTATTTGATAAATATTACCGAAGTAGAACAAATGGACACAATCATGGTTACTAAAATTATAGTTACTATAGTTACTATGCCTAGTTACTAAGTCTTATTGTTGTCCAATATCTTTATTTCTATCATATTGTCATTATTTCAAAAAAACTCTAAGCTATATAGGACTCCATCGAAGACATAACAATTGTAGTAAGATATAGTAGTAGTAGTATAAATTATAAACAACTATGAAGTTGTGATGGAGCAAACCCTTAGATTTAGACATGTTGATATGGTTACTACACTTTCTTTGAAAAATGGCATTGATGATTTTCTTACTTAGTGTAAATAATGTTTGTCCAAAGTTAAAAGTGAAAGATATGACAAATGTTCTAATATATGTAGAATGAACTTAATAGATTGAAGACTTTTATCTTGAATAAAAGTCCATACAAGAAAAAATGTGTCAATTTGCATAAATTAGTTTCAAACCAACAAACTCTTTGAATAATTTATCTATAATATGAAAATGTTAGATATATAGAATTATATTATTAAATAAAGTTGTATTAAAGGATCAAATCATAAACTTCATTTATGCTTCATTTTTAACATGATAGTAAATTACACACAAGTACTAACACAATGTGCAACATTCAACATGATTCTAGTTCAGATATGAAATCTTGATCATTTTATAGTATGAAAAATAACGAAAATTCTAATGTAAAATCAGAAACGACGCAAATATGAATCATTTCTGATCCAAATTATATCTTACTTTCAAAAGGCCATATATATTATTTAGAATTGTCTTAATAAGTTCAAAATTAGACTTATAATTCATATATATATGTTCATTGCTTGAAGCCGACATTGAATAATCTATTTTCAGTTAAAAATAATAATCTGAACAACTTGACAAAAAAGACTAATGATACACCCGATTCGACCTGACCCATTTCCATCTATGCGTGAGTGCTCCCGCTTCAGAAAAATTCTGGATCCACATGAGCATTATAACCAAAATAAAGAGAATTTTTAATGTGTGATGATCGAACATAGTATTAGTTGAAATAGAACTGGTTATATTCAATTATATACTACGTAGTACTCCGTATAGTAGTATACTAGGAGTAGTATATAGATCATAATAATGGTATACCCCTAAACAAAAATATTCATATTTTTATTCATAAATTCTAGGGTTAAAATCTCCGTATTGATAATTAAATACGAAGTACTCCGTATTTAGTTATTAAAATCTCATGTATATATTCGTTTACAACTTTATTAATTAGGAGCGATTTCGGTTGATGATGACAGTCAAATTTAATTATCAAAGCACGTTGAATTCATAAAATATAATTATTCAAGATTCTATTTCATTCATGTTTAGATAAAATCTCATTTATTCAAAGATTCTAGATAAAATTATCACGGATATTACTAAAACACAACACAACGTGAACGTGTTTCCCAAACCATGAGTCACTAAGTTTTCTCTTTAGCATAACATCCATATGTCATGCATGTATGTGAGATTACTTATGGGAAGTGGTTAATTAACTATACGGCCATGTATGTGAGGTCATATGATGAGAACAAAAAGAGATCGAGTCATATTTTGAGAAAAGTCATATGTTTTAGTAATATTGAGGTTTTTCCTTAAGGGTGTGTTTGGGAGTTGTATTTTGGAGGGGAGGGGAAGGTTAATGGGGATTTATGACCCTCCAAATGCTTGATTTTTAAGTTTCCTCAATTTGAAGGGTTTTGAAGGATAATTAACAAGATGGTAATTGAAGCTAAATTAGAAATAAATATCAGTTTAATGATTTGAATTCGTCATATCTTAAAGTGATTTTTATTATAATTCCATCAAAAACATACTCCTTCAAATTTTATACTCTCAAATACAAAGAAGAGTTTCACCCTCTTCTCCATTTCCCCTCTAAGGCCATCTCCAACAAGCACCATTTTCAACACCAAAATGGTGATTTGGCAAAAAAATGCTCCAACAATAACACCAAACTTGACACCATTACACCAAAATGGGGGAGGGAGGAATGGTTTGCGCTATATATGGTGTACACCATTTCTTGCACCATCCTCTTTTTGTGTTTTTTTTGCTTTCAAATGTGACCCAAAGTTTTGATTATTATAGTTTTGATCCATTTTTAAAACAACAAATTAGGAAGTTTTACTTGGACTGAAATTTGTTGGTCCGGTCTGATTTGATCTGGTTTGGTCTGAATTGATGTGGCATGGTCTGATCCGGTCTGATCTGATCTGAAACAAATTAATCTATTGCTTTAAGTTTAAGTAGTAATTTAATAATGACGTACAATTTATTATAATATTATTGAAACGTTTAATTTTATGTGGTTTTAGCTTGTATTTGTGAAATATTGATTATTGTGTTTTAATTAGTGAAATGCGTGAAAATACATATTAAAATGACGTATTTTAGTTTGTATGTGTGAAATAATGTGTGAAATGTCAAAATATTAAATGAGGGGCTAATGTATAAATATAAGATAGTTAAATACTTAAATAGAAGAATGATAAAAAGTTAGTAAAAAGAATAAAAAAAGAATATTCTTTTTTGGTGATGAAAATGGTGTAAAGTGTTGGAGATAAAATACTGTTTGATGTGATGTTTACACCATTTTAGTATAAAAAATGGTGTTAACTGTTGGAGATGGCCTAACAACATACTTCCAAAATCTTCCCCCCCTTCCCTCCAAACTCCCAAACATACCCTAAGAGTATATCTCATTTTATAAGCTGGTATACGAGTGATTTGGGTTTGATGCGCCAAACCCCCGTGATATAAAAATTCAGCACATTACACTGGTGCAAAATTACCTTTTTGCGTCGCTTAAATCACCCAACGTGCGGCGCTTTTAGGCGCCACAAATCTCGGTGCCGCAATTTAACCCGCGCGGCGCTTAATTTCAAAAAAGCGCCGCCAATATTTCTTTTTTAAAAAATTATATTTAATATGTGTGCGGCACTTTTTTGCGTATAGGCGCCGCAAATATTTTCTTAAATTAATAATTTTCGACGTAACTGTGCGGCACCTTTCTTTATATAAGCGCCGCAGATGTTTTTTTAATAAATTAAATTATTATTTTTTTAACTTTCGCGACGCCTTACACAAATAAGCGCCGCAAGTATTCAACATTTTTAAAAAAAAAATCAATCGTATTTAGGATCATTCAAAAGTACGTCCTGGAACAGAATTAACAAAATACCAAAAGTGTAAACTTTTTAAAATCATCACAATATCAACAACATGAACTTACACAAATTACAAAATCACCAAAGTGTAAGCAAGTAACCAACATAGATTACAAAAATCTTCATAAAAATGATTCCAAAAAATAACCAAAATGATTCAACTACATAGATTACTTTTTATGTTAGATTGCAATTGAGGGTTATGCTAATATAAAACAACCTCTTGGAAGTGTTTTGCTGCTCATTACAACTATTCCAAAATTATATTACTCAAAATTAATTAAAATATAGTACTACTTGTGCTGAAATTTAATTCGGGAGCAGGCACAAACTGCCTCTAAATTGTTACAGCCAGACGCCAGGTATATCCATTTTATTACTGAAAAGTCGGAGCAATCCAAAAAAATCAAAGTAAAATCAAATAAAAATAAAAAACAATATATATTCGCCAAAAAAATGAACAAACAAACTCACTTCTATCAAACCTAAGGAAGCCTAAACATCAGAACAATGGATATTTTCGAAAATATACTTTAATCTGAAAACATCCAAACTAAAATCAAATAAAAGTGAAATCAACTCAAATATACCAAAAACATAATTGAAAAATGAACTGACCTTTATCTATGTGATGTGGGTCGGAGCAGTCCACGGCGAGCCGGAGCGGTCGATGGCGTGCCGGAGCAGTACACGGCGAGCCACAACCGTCAACGGCGTTCCACAGATAATGTTGCAGCCGAGCTACCAGGGCTGGAGAAGAAGACAACGACGGCAAGCGTACGGCGACGGCAGCAGACGCTTGGACAGGCAGCGGCAGCAGAAGCACGGACAGTCGGCGGCGGCAGCAGACGCACAGACAGCAGCGGCGGTAGCAGATCCCCTCTAATTGTTGGTGCGGCTGCTATCGACGATGAAGGTCGGGGTCGTCAAATCCGTGCGCGCATGGGATGGCTTGGTGTCGGTCCAATAGCTAGGGTTAATTATGGGAGGTGCTTCTTAGACCAAAGCGCCGCACGCATCGGCCAATTTTAAAAAAACGGAAGGCGCTTCTTTGCCTAAGCGCCGCACGGGTCGAATGAATTTCAAAAAAAAAAAACCGCGTAGCCAATTGGAGGCGCTTCTGTGACAAAAGCGCTGCACGGTCAACCATTTTTTAAAAAAATTCGGAAATACAATGGAGGCGTTTTTACCCTATAAGCACCACACGTCTTAAAAAAATAAATAAAATATCCGCCTTACAAGAGGCGCTTGTATTGAAAAGCGCCTGAAACGAAGCGCCTCTATTTGACGTTTTTCCACTAGTGTTAGCTCCCTGTTTTTTGAAAAATGTGTCAAACCCCCTTGTGTTTTAGTTAATCGATCATACACAGAAACCCTTTTTTGAATAAATTTAACGATTTGGAAATCACTTTTCCAAATATTTTGATTGAATATGCAAGTAAATATGCCAAAATCTCTAAATCATACAAAAATGTTAATCATTTTTCTTTTATTTCACAATTGAATTTGTTCATAGAAGAGATTTTGCGCACAATTAATTAAAACACAAGGAGGGTTGACACATTTTTTAAATCACAAAAAACTAATGCGCCGAATTTGCATATCATGCGGGGGT